CCCTCTCTCTCTATTTCTTTCTCTCTCTCACATTCATAACAATAAATGAAACAAAACTCTCTCTCTCTCTCTCTTGTGTTCGTAGCTCTTAGGCTGCGGTGTAGTGGGCTTCCGCGTATGTTTCAAGGTGTCGCATTTTTGGGGGCGGGCGACCAGGACGCAAAGTGGGTTCTTAGGGGGCAAAAAAATTTGGGGGACCGGTCCTTGGCAAAATTGCGGACTACCTACAACTAGCTCTGGTAGAACCGGAACTTTTGGAAAAAGGAAGGACTGGTCCTCGGGTGGAAGTGGATCCCAAAAAGAAGTGGGGGCCGTTGGACCGGTCCCCGGGTAGAAGCGGACCCAAAAAAGAAGTGAGGGCATGTGAACTGCAAAAGGGCCCTCAGGCCCAGGCATTGAGCCCCGTCTTCTCAAAACAGGGATGTCAGGCACAACGAAATAGGCATTTTGCAAGGGGCAACTTTGGCGATTTTATGTGCTCGGATGAAAATGCACAAAAATCTGAAATTTTGAGAATTCATAGATGTGGTCGTGTTCTTTCCAGAAATAATAATAGAACATTTACAAAAAAATCATTTACACTGCGAAATAATCGTCGCGCCGATTCGACACATTTTCCATTTTTGCCACTCAGCCATGCATGGGCCAACTAAAAAAGTACTCCAAATTTAGTGAGTTTTCACGCTCAGAAGAATGAGTGAAAAAACCTGAAAATTGGAGTACTCATAGATTTTTGTTGTAATATTTCCGAGAAAAACGCTACATAAATTAAAAAAAAATATTCCAACTGCAAAATAGATTGCGGCCGCAATTTGACCCATATTTCAATTTTGTCATTGAGTCTGTCTCTCTCTCTCTCTCTCTCTCTCTCTCTCTCTCTCTCTCTCTCTCTCTCTCTCTCTCTCTCTCTCTTGTGTTAGCTCTTAGTCTCATTGATTTGGCTACCTTAGGGCTGCGTTCCCCGCGCCCACGCGGTAGACAATGGGCCTGCGGCCCCAACTCTATGACTCACTTCTGAGCAATCTGGCATCATCAAGGCTTTGTGTTTTTCGTATTTTATCTCGTCTGGACCGATGCAATAGGGCTTCGAAAGTTCGTTCAGACACAGAAGTGGGCACATCACATCAGCCTGGTACTCTCGAGAAATGGTCTACCCCATCAAAGAAAACGGACGAACTGTCCTTCGATTTCACAAAGGTACTGGTTTTACGAGTGATAACTGTTCGCAGCCCGTCAGGGGTGCGTTTTCCCCCCCTGAGAACATTTTTCGTCGTCGTTCATTATACGGGCGCTGCAAGGCTGAAAAAACAAGGCGTGACAGCTTAGGGGGTGGTGGCATCTTATTTGAAAAACTGCAGGACCGGTAGTACCGCACGGGTTTTGGTCCAGGACCTCGTAGGACCGGTAGCTGTGAGTAGGAGGTCGAGGAGTCCACAGTCCTCTTTCGAAATTGAAACGGTGCGGATCCTACACGTTGTATTCGAATACAA